GTGTTATGTGTGCATGGGACAATGTGAATATCAAATAGAAAATGAATGGTGACTTGGGTAGTTAACATACTGATTTATTTCTCTCTAGCTACCTGAAAACAATGGGGCCAGTGAGATGATTTAGTGGTTAAAGACACTGGCCAGTAAGCCTGACCAATCTCAGCTTGTTCCCCAAATCCACATGGTGAAAGGAGAAAACCAACTCCCCCAAAGTTGTCCTCTGACCTCCACATACTCACCATGGTACATACACGCCACCCCACTACACACACACACACACACACACACACATTAATTACTTCAAATTAAATAGGCAAAGAAAAGAAGGACAATAACCCAGCAAAAAAACATTTGAAATAAAATGACTGTAAAAGGGACTGCTTCTAGAAGGCCAGGCATGGTAGCAAACACCTTTGATGCCAGCAATCAGGATGCAGAGGCAGGTAGACCTCTGTGAATTTGAGGTCAGCTTGGTTTACATAATGATTTCCAGGCCAGCCAGGGCTACACAGTGAGACCCTGTCTCTAAAAATAAAAGAGGGCGGAATCGGAAGAGAAGTGCTAAAGAGATGGCTCAGCAGTTAAGAGTACTGGCCGCTCTTGCAGAAGACTAGGGTTCTGTTCCCAGTACCCATATGGTAGCTAACAATTGCCTGTAACTCCAATTTCAGGAGATCTGACACCTTCTTTGGCCTCTGTGGGCACTGCACACATGTGGTGTACACACATACATGAAGGTAAACATTCATATACATAAAATAAAAATAAACAGCCTGGAGTGGTGGCGCACACCTTTAGTCCCAGCCCTGGGGAGGCAGAGGCAGATGGAGCTCTGTGAGTTCGAGACCAGCCTGGTCTACGTAGTGAGTTCCAGGCCAGCTGGGGCTACAGGAAGACTCTGTCTCAAAAAGTAAATAAATACATAAATAAATACATAAATAAATAAATAAATAAAATATTAGCCAGGTACAGTGGCACATGCCTTTAATCTCATCACTCAGGAGGTAAAGAGGCAAGTGGAGCTCTGTGAGTTCCAGGCCAGCCAAGGTTACATAGGGAGACCCTATCTCAAAAATATATATATAAGCTGGGAATAGTAGTGCATGCCTTTAGTCTCAGCACTCAGGAGGCAGAGGCAGGCAGATGTCTGTGAGTTCAAAGCCAGCCTGGTCTATACAGTGAGTTCCAGACCAGCTGGGGCTACAGGGAGACCCTGTCTCAAAAGGACAAAAAGAACCCAAAAAACAAAAAGCCTGGCAGGTTTACAGAAGCCATAGTACAGGGAGGCTGCCGGAACTCAGTATATATATATATATACACACACACATATATATAAAACCAAAATAAAATAAAGGGTTCCGACCTCCATCTGTATAGCAGCTGGGATCTCAGCAGACCGCCAGAGAGTACCTATTCCCTCTCCCACCTACCTCTGGCATAGGGGCTGAGAACTCAGGGGACTGCCTGAGAGCACCTGGATCCTGCCTCCACCTGCCTCCACATGGTGTTGAGCTTCCCCCAATTGTGCCACAACCAATCCTGTGACTGGGATAGCATGAGGCCCTTCCCAAGGGACAGACATGGCTTTGGTAGGATAAAGCTGAGAGGGTGAGTTCCCACCTCCATCTGTGTAGCAGCTGGAATCTCAGCAAACTTCCAGAGAGTGCCTGTTCCTACCTCCCTATGGCATAGGGGCTGAGAACTCAGCAGAACAACTGAGAGTCCCAAAATCAGCCCCCTCTTAGGGATTTTCCCAAATTTTGCTCTTAGTTCCTACTAGTAGGGGTCCAAACCTTAGAAGGAAGCCTGAGTGTACCCGACTGGAGCCTGACTTGGGCTTCGGTGAGTGCTCCTAAATAGCTGATCTAAAGCCATCAGTTCCCTCCAAAATAAAACCTGAGAGAACCTGAAACCTGTACCAACCAGCTTTATATAACCAATAAGAAAAGGACCAAGGCACACCAATAATACAAGCAGAAGCATACTTCAACTTAATTCTCATATAAGAATCACTAAAAACAAAAGAAATTCACATGCCAAAATCACAACAAAAGAATAATAAACTGGAAAGCCGAAACACTGTGTTCCCACCAAACTCCACCAGTCCTGTAGAAGAGTTTTCTATAAGGAGAACCCCCTAGAGTTGACCCAGGACACAGAATTTAAAAGAACAATCATAAAGAGAATCAAGGAATTCAACGAATTTAAAGAACACACAAACAAACAAATCAAAGAACTAAAAGAAGACAGGGATAAACTAATGAATGAATTCACAAAAGAGAAATACTGAAGAAAACTCAGGCAGAAGTGAAGAAGGAAGTGCAAAACACAATAAGCCAACTTGGAACAACAGGGGAAAGCCTCACCACTAAAATAAATGAAATGGAAAACAGAATATCAACACTGGAGGAGAAAGTTGAAGAACTGGACCACTCAAGCAAAGATTAAGGAAAATTTTAAAAAACACAGGAATGGAATATGCAAGAGAAGTGGGACACCATGAAAAGATCAAATCTACATATCACAGGCATAGAGGAAGGAGAAGAATTTCAGGTTAATGGTATTGACCAGATCTTAAACAGGATTGTAGAAGAGAATTTCCTGAAATTAAGGAAAGACATCCCCATACAAATACAGGAAGCACATAGAACACCAAATAGACAGGATCAGAAAAGAAACTCCCCAGGACACACCATAGTAAAAACACTAAATGAGCCAGGCGTGGTGGCGTATGCCTTTAATCCCAGCACTCAGGAGGCAGAGGCAGGCGGATCTCTGTGAGTTCAAGGCCAGCCTGGTCTACACAGTGAGTTCCAGGACAGCTGGGGCTACAGGGAGACCCTCAAAAAGACCAAAAAAAAAAAAAAATTCTATTATTTTCACACCTGAAAAGGGCTAAAGGATCATTTGACAAGAAAGAAAACACTGGTTTAGAAGTAGAGTGTGGCTTGGGCTGAATCAGATAACCAGTAACAGAGGTGAACAGACAAAAATGTTAGAGTCATTAATTCTCTGGATTGTGATGATTTTTTGTGTGTGTGGGGTGTGTGTGTGTGTGTGTGTGTGTGTGTGTGTGTAAAATGTCATCAATTTTATACTTTATATATGAATACTTATTGTAGGCTAATTGAACTTAAAAACAGTAAAACACTGTTTTTAAAAAGCACTTATATGAGGCTGGAAAAACGGCTCAGAGATTAAAAGCACTGGCTGCTCTTGCAGATGGCTCAGATTTGGTTTCCACATGGTGGCTATGAACTGTCTGTAACTCAATGCCCTCTTCTGGTCTCTGTGGGTATTGCATGATACAGACGCACTTTCATATATGCAGGCAAAACATTCATAAAATAAAAATAAAGTTTTAGTCCACGTGTATAGCTAAAGACTACGTAACAAGAAACAGTGCCAGACAGGAAATACTTTCCTTTGAGTTGTTGTCCAGGGTGGTCCAAGAGACTCCCAAATGATGGACTCCCAGAACTTGAAGGTAAGATGCTACTGCCGAAGACAGAACATAGGTCAGACACAGGATTTGGAGAAAGAGAGCTTCAACTGGCATGGAAGCCATGTCCCCTGAAGGCGAGCTCTCATAGCATTGGAGGACGCTATGACAGTGCCAAGGGAAAACATCAACAGATGATCCGGCACCAGCTTCAAGACCGAATAACCACATAAACAGCCAACACAGCATATACAATTGGTACAGTAGTGGCACTTTTATCTTGGAGGCAATCAATAGCTACCTAATTTGACTAAAAGCCCACTCAAAGGGAGGAAGCTCAAGTGTGACACTGTAACATAAACTAATACACATGGCTGGAGTGGTCAGAGATCTTCAGAGAAAATCCCAAAACTCTCACATCACTAGACTAATGTGATTTTTTACTATGTGCAAAATATGTATCCTTATATTTACAAATATCCCAGTCACCACTCATCAATGAAGCTCATTTTGCAGTAGTCAGAGACTAATACCAAGTACCACACATGGACATTGTCTACGAATTGCCCCGGCCTAAGGGACACATCTGCAATGCAACCTTTACACCTAAGACTCATGGAACACAGAACAGGGATAAAGAAGAGGACACTAACGATAACAAATCAGTGGTCAATAATGATGCTCCCTCATGCAGCAGAGAGCCAGGAACACAAAAAGTCACAAATGGCCAAAGTGTAGAGATCAAGAGGGTGCACTTACCTACATGCAGGCAACACACACATACATATAAAAATAATAAATTTTTAAAAAAATTTTAGAAGAAGCACAAAAACCAGAAAAACAGATCCCAACAGAAGTGGGTATAGTGTATGTGCTTGTTCTTGGAAGCCAGAAGAGAAGGGCATTGGATCCCCTGAGGTTGGAGTTATAGGTGGCTATGAGCCACCTGATGTGAACTGAACTCAGGTCTTCTGGCCGAGCAGCAAGTGCTAAGATCTCCATTTCATTTTAAAATATACTGTTTCTTACAGAAAGACTCATTGTTTTTCCTAATAACACTTATATGTTGGCACATGCATCTCTAATCTGTATGTATCTGATTATT